GTGTCCATTTATATGAACCAGCCCCTTCCAGAGTAACGAGTTTCTTGCATTCCGCAAACTTATGGAAACGATGATGATAATTACGCTTTAATTCGAAGGATTAGGTGTATTTAGGATGAAAAAATATTCTGCGAAGAAGAAATAAATTCATGAATTTATTTATTTTTTAAAATTTTAATTTTGAAAAATTAAGGAAGATTATTGATTAAATGGTTGAAATTAAATTTAATCAATCGATTTTGAATTATATCAATAATTAAGAAAGAATCAATATGTTGTTGCAGTGTTGAAAGAAAAAATATTCTGATTTCTGGGAAGAAGTAAGGTGAAATGAAAAAAAAAAGAAACACTGTTAATTTTAATAAAAGAGAAAACTTTACAAGACGAAATGGAAATATCCATTTAATGGTATTGAATTTCATAATATTTTTGAAATCCTTTTTTTAATTTTTGGAATTATATATAATATTTTGTAAAAAAAAAAAAATTACACAAATGTAAAGAGAAGAAATATTTCATCATCATTTCAAATCATAAAAGATATTAATGCGAAGATATTAAAAAGAAAAGAAGTACAACTGAAGAACATTTTAATTTAAAAAGAAATAAAAAAAAGCATATGTCAATTTAAAAATAAATGAAAAAAAAAATTAAATTGAAGAATATTTGCAAAAAAAATTCAAAAAGAAATAAAGAAAATTTAAATTTAAATGAAGAATTCTATTATTCTTATTTTTATTTCGTTAATGAAATTATTTTTTTCATCAATTAAGGAATCTCTTTCAATTTTTTTTAACTTACGATTACTTAAGATTTCTATCTTTTTATTCTCCATATTGTATATAGTAACTCAAGAATTCATTTCATGAAACACCATAATGAAAGATATAAACTAGCAGTCGTATTGGATTCTGTGATAATGAAAACTGATAAACTTGATAAACTATGTATCACTTCTCGCTCTATAAGATGAAAATTGAAACATGTAAAATTGACGAATGAGAATATATAATCATAAAAACTGTGTTTACAGTTATTATGATTGAAGCAGGATTCAAGCGGTTGCTATTTAAAATCTTGTATGTAAATAGATATTATTCTTCAAATTTCTGAATTTTTTCTACTTCTTGATATATTTACATTATATTTGTGATAAAAATATGAAGAAAAAAAGATAAATTTGAGAAAAATTAAAGAATCTAAAAAATTAAAAATTAAAAGTAATTATAAAAGATTGGAAAAATTAATGAATAAAGTAACATTTAAAATAAATATTGAGAAGAATTAAAATTAATAATTAATAATAATCATAAATTATGTAAAATTATTAAAAAAAACTTCAAAAAAAATTTATAATAATGCATAATAAATTTTCTATAGTTTTTATTCTTCTATTAATTTATATTCTTTATAGTATTTTTTATAGTAAACTTTGTATATTTCAGTAACAAAGAAGTTATGGGTTTTTTTCAATGAGTCTATCATTTTATCGTTTTATTCGGATTTATTAATTGTAAAGAAAGAAAAAAAAAGAAGTATTTTATCTAATCGTAAATTTATTATTAGATTTATTAATACCTGACTCGTGTCTTAATTATTGTTAAACATCAGGATAATGGAGAGCAATTAAATGAATAAATTTTTCTCGGTAATCTTTATCAATCAACTATAGAAAATAATTTTCTGATTTTAAATAAAACAAAATTTCTTAAACGTGGAATAAGATTCATGAAAGATTCTAGATATTTATTATTTTTTAATAATTGCATTTTAAAGAAAATCAGCAAAATATTAAAAAAGCATTATTATTTCGAAAAAGGAGTTATTTTTAATTACATTGTAAATTTGAATTTGTGATTTGTGAATTTATTTGAATGAATTTGTGTAGATTTTCTGAAGCTGAATTAAAAGAAAATATAATATATATATATAAGAAGTTATGAAGTACTGAATATGATTAAAATTTTTTTAGAATTTTTTGATTAAGATATAGACAATTGAACATTAGAAATTATAATGTAATGTTTATATCTGAAGGCAAGGGATGATTGGAATAATTTATAACACAACGCGATTCAATGAAATTTTCATCCTGATTATGCTATTTCTATTAAGAATGTATGACTCACATCAGTTAAATAAGTTACGTTGTCCATTGATAAATGAACATAGAACTAAACACCTATCGATAATTATAAATTCAAAATGTCATATATATATTATTTGATATATTTCTTCTTTAAAAAAAAATTTTTCAAAACAATTTCCTAAAATTCAAATTAATATCACTATATAGTATATAAACTATATAAAATATAAAATTAAGTATTGAAATGTATAAATTATATATATTAATTTATATATATATTATATAAATTATATAAATTATATATATATTGAAAAATATAAATATAAATAAAAATATTAGCAATGAATGTATCATTAGTTTCCTTTTAAAATATTGAAAAATAAAATATTATATATTGAAGAAATATATAGAATACAATGACATTTTTTATCATTTCAATATAATAATAAGTTCATAATAATTATAATATAATAATAATTTCATAATAAGTTATTAAATGATACAAAATATAAAAATTAAAACCTTCATCTAAAGTTAATCTCTTTTTTTTAAAAACATAAGTGACATATAATATTAAAATTTTTAATTGAGTCTAGTTTATTATGTTAATTATTATAATTTTTTAAATATTAAAAAATTTAAAGGAATAGTACTTACTTTTTGATGAAACAATTTTTTTATATACAAATAATTGTAACAATAGTTTAATTTTATGAAAACTGAAAAATTCGAATTTTTCATTCAGCTTCATGAGCTGAGAATACATGAATACATACACACGTATTTGAACTACACTATTTTTTTTTATATTTTATTATTTATATATTTTTATTATTTAGCTTAATCTAAAAAAATGTTTTGATTTTTAAAATGTACGATAATTTTATATACAATTTTACATATAATTTTATATATATATGACACATATAACATCAAAATCAAAATTACAAAACCGTTGATTTAAAAGGTAAACATGAAAGTCCTGTGTCATGAGAAAGAAGAAGGAAAATCTTAGGAAAATAAACGAAATTTAATAATATAAAATGAATATAATAAATGAATATACATTAAATTCTTTTTTATTTATAAAATAATTTTTATTAAAATTTGTAAAAATTACTATAAAATAAATCTATCAGATAAATAAATTCTTTATAAAATAAATTTGATAAAGAATAAATACATATATATTATCATTATTTTTATTTTATTACATATATATCTTATAACAAAACTTAATTATTATAACAAATAATTAATAAATATATATAATATAATAAACTTTTAAATTTATCCTATTAAAGATTCATATTTATAGAGAATATTATACTAAAGATGAGATTAATAAATTTTATTAAAAAGCTGAATCTTCTAACATATAAACATATTCTTCATTTCTCGAGAACATTAGTTGGATTTTTTGATGAATTAATTGACCATTAAAGAAGAACTGGATGTAGAAAATGGCGGTCACAGTTTCTAGAAAAATAATTAAAAAGATGCCCGGTGCCGATCGAAGCGCGAGTTACAGATAAATTGAAACTGGTTTCAACTGCCCACTAGTAGTTTGATCTGGGACTTACAAGTCTCTCAAGAAGCACCTTAAGCTATCCTCTTTCTTCTATAAAAATTTCTTTTCAAATATTTTTTTCTTTATCTTCTTTTCAAAATTTTAGATTTCTAATAAAAATAAGACTAAAATTAATTTCAAGAAAACTTTTTCAATAAAGACTCTAAAATATTTCAAGTATAAATTATATAATTTATATGAAAAGAAAATGAAGAAATATACATTTAAAGAAATCATAGGAATCTTAATTTTCCTTATTTTCATTAGAAAAAGAATTGTTGATAAATAGTTTAAGAATTGAAAAAAAATTAAAAATTGCAAATTTTAGTTTCGAATTCTAACAATAAATTTCCATTCCTGTTGCTTGATTGTCTTGCTGTTAATTGTAACTACTTGATTCTTCATTGGATAAACAAGAGGAGAGACTGAAAATAATTGCTGCTACTCTTAATATCGTTTTCTTTCACACACACTATTTTATTAACTCAAAGTAAAGTACAAGTGCAAAGTACACAACAAAGCTTGGATAAATATTCTGTTACATTCTATTAACTAAAAAAATTATCTGAAAACAATAAAATATAAGTATAAGTATTGTAAACATCACATTAATTAATTAAAATATTTTAAATTACACGCTAAATTACACAAAACATATCATAAAACATTAAATATATATAATTATATATTTAATAAATTTAATTATAATTGTGCTCGATATTGTATTAAGTTGTATAAAAATATTTTTTATGTTTAGAAATAACTAAAATAGCGTTTTTAGAACATCATGTTTTATTAAATTTTATTTAATTACTTGTGCGCAATAACAATTTGCAATTCAAATTTATAACATTTTTGATCAATTTTCGAAAAATATAATTTTATAAAGTAATTTATATAACATAATAATTTATAATTAAGTACTTTTTATTTTATAATTATTTTTTTTAAATGAAATTTTTTTTTGGTATTATTTTGGTATTGTAAATATTTTATTGTTTTAACTCTCATCATGTTTCATTATTGCTGATATGTGAAATAATATTTATAATAACTTTTTTAAAACTCTTCTTATTTCATTGAATAATAAAAAAATTAGAAACTGGCAGTTTAGGAACAATAGATGGAAGACATTTAATTAATTAAATATTCACTAAGTTAAGTATTTTTTTTTTTATAATACAATATTGCCTGAAATTAATATGTTTAAATAATTTATTTCCTAGCTCAACTGGTTAAATATTAAGATTATTTTGATTAAGATTATATATTATATGTATCAAATAAAAAGTAATATATTTTTTTTTAAAACCTAATTAAAATTAAATTGATAATTAAATTTTCATTTTTTGAACATGTCATTATTTTTTCTATGAAGATCTACTTCATAGATTTTTTGTAATTTTATATATATTTTTTTATAACTTATAAAATTAAATATGGAATGTTTAAAAATCTACAAATTTCAAGCCACAACTGATTAATTAAAAATGAAAAAAAAAATTAAACTTTGCTGGTATTGACATCTTCCATGATATCTATGTCATCAGAACTAACACCGAAAATATACTTTCTTGGTGCAGTAGTAGTATCCTTTAATATATCATTTGAGTTGGTATCCGAAATTTGCATTTGTCTACGATGTATTCGTTTTGCTATTATAGGAAAAAACAGATTGAGATCCAACTCAATTTTTTGTTTCTTAAACATCTGTTTTAAGCAGAAACTAAGGAATAATCCAATAATAAATGTCATCAAAAATCCAAGTGGACAATACCACATATAAGAAAGTCGATACAGATAAAAATAAGAATCATCCGATTTCCTAAAGAGAAAAAACAAAAATATTTTTATTATATTTTTTCAGAAATTTAATATAAGAATTTCAAGATTAAATTCATTGCTTACAATTGCGTTTGTAAGATAGAAATGGTTGCATTTGAACAATCTATATCATTAACTGGTAGTGCTGGTGGTATAGGTCTGGGTTGTCCAAATGCAATCCAAAATAAAAATATTAGGGATATAATAGTACCCGTTACGGATCCTGTTTCTGTAGCTGTTTCTGTAAGCATTCCGAGTGTAAAAAGGCCAAGAAGTGGACCACCCACTACTCCAAATATTGTTAAACCAGCCTATAATATTAATATAAATATTTAAATAAAATTCATTTAAATAAAATATGAAATATTTATAATATTTATAATATAATCTTTTGATATAATAATGCATAAGAATAAATACTTGTAAAACACCACCCAATAATTGTGCTAAAAATGCTAAAGCAATAGATATAATTCCATAAATAAAGGCAAGTAACTTTGCCAAAGTTGTGGATATGGTTACAGAAAATTCTTTATGACAACATTTTTTATATGTTGGTTTTATATAATCTTCTAATGTTACTGCTGCCAAAGAATTCAATGCTGCTGAAATAGTGCTGAGACCAGCACTAAAAATACCTAAAGAAAAAAAGTATAAAAATATGATTATTTGAATTTTATTAAAATGTTATTATTTTTTTTAACATGTATTATTAACATATATTAACATATTACACATGTTAATATTTAATATTAACATAAAAAATATAATTTATTTAAAATTTTATAAAAATCTCACCTGCTATAAAAAGACCAGGTAAACCAGGTTTATCAGACATGGTATCCATAACATACAATGGCATTAACATGTCTGTAGATGATATTCTTTTTTGAAGTAATGGATCACACTTATAATATTTACTATATATTGCTAATCCTGAGAAACACGTAGTTATTGAAAGTAAAGATAAAATTGGCCATGATAACCAAAGTGCTTTTTGTGCTGCTTTTATATCTCTAAAAATATTGTGTAAATTAATAACATTTCTTATTTTATTCATTATAATACTTACTTCACTGTTAGCATACGTTGTATTTGAACTTGATTTACACCATATAATGACAGAAATGTACATAAGCCTCCAAAAATAAGTGACCACCAAGTATGTCGAACTGTGGGGTCTATAGAAATACTAAGAAAATAGTTTGTTTTTAAATTTTTTTAAAAAATATAAATTTTTCATTGTAATATGCATATACCTATCAAATTGAATTCGATTCCCTTCTTCAGCTATTTCCCAGATTCTTTTTAAACTTCCAGCTTCATTAGCAGCTGTGATAATAATAACAAAAACAGAAATAAACATAAGCAATCCTTGGAATACATCTGTAATTAACACAGCTTTAATGCCTCCTATACTTGAATAGAAAGCACAGACTAATCCAATGATAATAATACTGCCAGTTTTAGAAATTCCTGTTGTAGCCTCCAATGCTAAAGCAGGAGCATAAAGTACAACACCTGAATACAAAAGTAGTTGTAGCCAGTATACAAAACTAGCTAATGTTCTAGCTTTTATTCCGAAACGTTTTTCTAAATACTAGAGAAGAGGAAAATATAATTTATATACATATATGTATAGTTTCTTATTATTATTGAAATTATGTATATATAATAATAATACAAACCTCATAAGCACTTGTTGCTTGGAGTTTAAAAAATACTGGTAAAAATCCATAACAAACAAGAGGAGTTCCTATAAGATATGATAAATTAATTACTACAAATTGTGTTCCATACGTGTAATTTTCTGCAGAAACTCCTAACAACGTAATTGCAGACATAAAAGAAACAACTAATGCTACACCCACAGGAAGAATGCTCATAGATCTGCTGGCAATGAAATATTCCTATCAGAAAACATAATTTTGTTTTGTTGCAATTAAATATTATTCCAAAATTTTAAAAGAATGATAAATATACCTCTATAGTTTTCTGTCGGCCACCACTGAATCTGTAGTAAATACCTATACCCACACTTATACATAATGTAATTGCTATGACCAGATAGTCTTCCCATTGTAATGTTCCTATTTTTTCCATACTATTATTCTATTAATTCAAGAAAAAAATCTATCAATCTTAAATATATTACATAATAAATTATATCAACTAATGAATAATATTATTAAAGAAAGAAATATACTCAATACATTATCAATTATATCAGTTTAAATATAAATTGTTTTTGTCAAGTATATCTTTATAGCACATTATTAAGTATTATTTGCTAATATTATCTATGGAAACAAGATTAGATCAAATTGCTTAAATTGCATTTATTTTTTTTAATTTAAGCAAAATTTAAATAGTAATAAAATTATTTAAGAAACAATAAATATGGTAATCATCAAAAAAAGTTCATAAGAACTCTATTTATTTCTAGCTTTTATAATAACAAAAAATTAATTTATATATTATAATATAATTGTAGTATTATCTAAAAATCTTATCATAGTTAGAGAGACAATATTCAATATTTAATACTATTCCTTTGGTTGTGTAATTAGCGGAACATCTTATCAATCCAAGTCTTATGATTCTACTTTATGAATAATTTAAATCATAGTTTTTAATTATATTGAAAATCTTTTAAATAATAATTTATAAAATTATTTATAAAAAATAGTGCAATATTAATACAATAATGACGAAAAAAAAAAAAACGTTGACGAATAAACTCGTAAACTTACCAGGAGCGTGGCAACGTCGTCCACCGATATAACGAATAAAAATGTTTTGCCACACGGATCAATCTTGATCCGTGTCGCGATTCTGACCTTCTTTAATTGTCGATAGTGGATTTCAATGCGCTCTTTCGAAAAAATGATCATATAAAGTATTTAGAGAAAACACGTGGAAAACATGAGCAAATGTAAACAATAGCATAAGGGTAAGCAATATATAGAGCAATATATATTAGAATTATAAAGAATATTTTTATATTATTTTGAAATTTTGATATTACAATTATTTAGAAATTATTTATAAGATAATAAATAATAAAATTTATTACTATTTTCTTGAAATTCTTTATTGAAAAATTTTTTTTATTATTTTCTATTATTTTCTTAGTAAATAGATTTTTGTATTAAAGATTTATTAAAAATTATATCCTGAAAAAAAAATTACATGTGAATATCTATAGCAATGTCTTGTGAATATCTGTAGTAAATCTAAAAGTTTAATAATATAGATATGAAATTTATTTATAGATAATATTGAGAATATTTTTAGTAATGAAAAAATTGTAATTAAAATTCTTTTATTTTAAATATATATTAAATATATATTAAAAGGATTTAAAAATTATATCTATTGAGAATCACTGTTCTGCATTTTTGAATTATTAGATTCATATATAACAGAGCAAAGGTAACTCTTATTTAAATAATTAATGCTTTTAAAAATAAATGCATTTGTTTAATAATATTAGTCATTTTATTTATTTATTTATATATTTTTAAATAATAATTATAGCAATAATTGAACAGAATTCATTTCGTATAATATTTAAAAATTTTCAATATAATGATTATTTATGTTTATGTTATGTAAAAATTATATAATATGTAATTGATATTTTATTAGTAAAAACTATTATTTTCAATTAAATAGATCAATGAATTGGATAGAATAATGAAATTTTAATAAATATAAGTATTAATTTTTAAAAGTTTTATTAAATTTTAAAAATTTAATAAAAGTTATTTTGACATTAATTCTAATAGTTAATTGATAATAAAATCAAGTATAAAGAATAAATAAATATTGATTAGAACAGAAGCATTTATAATAAAAATATGTCAAATTTCCAACATTAAGAAAGTTTATGAAAAAATGTTTTAAATGCAGGTGCTGCAATTATTTAAAATGAAAGTACCTTCGTAATGGCTGACTAACAAATGCTTGTTTCACTGATTTGTTTAATTGTCAACTCATGGAGATTTTTATCTCGATTACTGATTGATGATCGATCTCTCACAGTGTAAGTAATCGATTGTTTGAAATGGCGGATTACAATGATAAATGTACAGAAGACTGTTCATTTGATTACAGTGAGGATAAACAAAAAGGTGTATGTTTAATTAAAGAAGAGTAAGTAAACGTTATTATTTTTATTTAAATTTTTTAGTTTTTTAAAAAATTATTGCAATTTATTATTATGACCGTATTGGATAACCTCAATTTATAAAAACCGCGTGGCATTCTGTCATTTATAACCATTTAAATTGAATTATATGATGAAATTGAATTATTTTTTTTTCTAAATAAAAGTATTATAATTTTATTTTTTGAAAAAATTATTTTTAATACTATAATTAAATATTAATTTTAAAAATATTTCAGATTTATTATAGAAGATCATATAAGATTTCTAAGTGAAAAGTGTTTAACTGAAACTGATAAACAAAAAGTTTTAAATAATACAACTAATATAAATGATGATACTTCTTTATTAGATGAACCTCCAACCAAAAAGTTTAAAAATGATGATAAAAAAGAAAAACTTAGAGGACAGAATAAAGCAAGACCACCTCCATTTAAGACACAGCGTGAATTAAATCTTTGTCCATGGATAGCAGATCAAGCAGTAGATGAACCTGAAAAGAAATGTGATAATAAACGATGCATATTTTTACATGATAGAATTGAATATTTAAAAATTAAGCCAGATGATATTTCAGATGAATGTCATCTCTTTAAGCTCAGTGGTAGATGTCTATGGGGCACTACTTGTAGAATGGGTTCTAAACATTTAACAAAAGATGGTTTAAATATTATTGACAAGGAAAAAGAGAAAGAATTTAAAAAAAAACCTCCATTTACAAAAAATCATTTAAATAAAAATATTCAAATTCTATTAAGAAAGCATAAATATAATTTCTACAAAGCTGAAAAAATTGTTAAAATAAATGAACATTCTAGAAAAAATTCAGGAACAGAAAGTGTTAAACAAATTGAAGAATCCTCAAATAAAAATAAGTTAAATATGAAGGACAATTTAATGTTAAATGTTTCCGTTAATGAAACTAAGAATGAAATTTCTAAAAATCAAAATACAGAAAAAAGAATTGGTCCTATTGAAGACTATGATTTAATAAAATGTAGAAACTCTGAAAAAAAAACAATTGATTGGAAAAATAAGATATTTTTAAGTCCTTTAACAACAGTAGGCAATTTACCATTCAGAAGAATCTGTAAAGAATATGGAGCAGATATAACTTGTGGAGAAATGGCTTTGGCACCAAGAATATTGAAAGGAGCCCATGAAGAATGGGCATTAGTGAAAAGACATGAATCTGAAGATATTTTTGGTATACAGTTATGTGGAAATAATCCAGGAGTATTAACAAGATGTGCACAATTGTTAAATGAACAAATTGATATAGACTTTATTGATTTGAATCTAGGTTGTCCTATAGATCTAATTTACAGACAAGGAGGAGGCAGTGGTATGCTGAATCGATTAAATGTTCTAGAAACTGTTGTAAAATCTGTTAATCAAGTTATGAATATACCTTTAACTGTAAAAACTAGGACAGGTGTATATATAGACAAACCTATTGCACATACTTTGATGCCAAAATTTCGTGATTGGGGTGTATCCATGATTACTGTGAGTAAGTTAAGTGTATTTTGAATTGTTATCATAAAATTATAACTAATTATCCTAAAAAATATTTATTATTAATAACAAATGAATATAGGTACATGGAAGATCTCGTGAACAGAGGTATACTAAATTGGCTGATTGGGATTATATAGAAAAGTGCGCAAAAACAGCACATCCTATTCCAGTTTATGGAAATGGAGATATTTTATCTTTTGATGATTATCAAAGAATTCAAGATACATATAGTTCCATTTATGGTGTCACTATAGGCCGTGGTGCGCTAATAAAGCCTTGGATATTCACAGAAATAAAAGAAAAAAAATTGATTGATATATCAAGTACAGAAAGATTTGAAATCTTAAAAAAATATTCTAAATATGGTCTTGAACATTGGGGTTCGGACACCCGTGGTGTTGAAACAACAAGAAGATTTATGTTGGAATGGATATCTTTTTTACATAGGTAACTTTAAGATACTATAATTAATTATTACACATAAAATATTAAATTGTATTTTTAATTATATTCCAGGTATATTCCTGTTGGAATATTAGAAAGACCGCCGCAAAGAATAAATGAAAGACCTCCATTTTATAAAGGCCGCGATGATATGGAAACTTTAATGGCCAGTTCGAACTGTGCAGATTGGATTAAATTATCGTAAATATATTTTCATTCGTCATCATATTTAATATTATACTTAATATATATAATTATATAATTTTTTTTTTTTTAACTTATATGTTATTTTCAGAGAAATGTTATTAGGAAAAGTACCCAAAGGATTTCATTTCTTACCAAAACATAAAGCGAATTCATGGAAATAATATGTCACGTAAACAAAATAATTTTATATTATAATATTCCTTTCCTTATTTTAATAAATATTCATCGCACGGAATAAATTTTAGGTGAAAAAAATGAAAAATTTTCTTTATTTTTTTAAGCACTTAACCATATAAACAAAAATAAAATAAATAACTTTAATGAACAGATAATATAGATTATAATTTTATATAATATGCATAATAATTTCAATTGCTTCAGCAAATGATTGATCAATTAAATAGTGGTAAAAAAAATTGATATTTTCATTCTTTAATTGTTAACTTTTCTGCTCCATCTATAGTTTCAAAATAGAGATTAATAATGATCAGTTATATCTCCGAGAACAGAAACTGGCCACATGCAATCACAACCACTGGCAATCTGTTTGACGAAAGGTTCCCAACATTCGTTATCCCATCGCCGTCTTACCAATAATAGCGTTTTACTTCTTTGCACGCAATGAAAACCATTATGCACGCATTTCTGAAATAAATATATGCTATTTAATAAAGAAAAAACGGAAAATTTCCAGCACTTATACATAATTTTCCAAATTTGGCAAAAAGGTTAGCAAATAATTAATGTATTTTAAAATATTTTATTCATATAATATATGAATATTCGAATCATTTTTTCCAGGTTCAAGAATCATCTGAAGGGCTAAATTATATACTACAGTATTCTACTAAATGAAAGCTTCTATTCTACATTTTAGGTAATTTTTCTTAAACTATCGAAAATCAATTTTCTTATTTTTTTATCTACCTGTTTTGATAGATTTACAGCACGTCGCAAATTATCTAACAAATTATAACTTTTACAGTAGATTTCATGATAATAGGGCGGTTGATACTCGTATTCAGAATCATCTAATTGCACTTTTTTTGTTATAGTTTCACATAGATTATGATACTCCTATAGGCAAAATACAGAATATTAGATCTTGTTTATTTTTCTTTATCAAATATAATATAACTAACAGGCAACAAATTTCTGTTGTTTCGGTTAAGAGAATGTTGATGATTCTGCTTATTTTTAATGAAATCTTCTTCAAGAAGATAAGGTGTATCTTGTATTAAAGGAAAATGTAATTGGGGATATAAATGAATAATATCCACTGGTTTTAATTCTTGAGAACTTCTATTGCACTTCTTGCAGACGTCGTAACAATCTTGCGCCATCACAGTTAAACCTGCGAACTATAAAGTTCTTAAATTATAAAAATAATTGAACTTTTTTATTTACATATTTTTCTGTAACTAATTAATAATTTTTTAATTTTTACTCATTTTTCTTCTATTTTATTCAGTAAAGAATACAAAAAATAAAATATAAGAATTGCATAGTAACAGAATTAGCTATAAATATGGCGATATGATATTGTATAATAGTAATTTTTGTAACAAAGAAAAATGTTTTGAGACTTAAATCAAATCTGCTAGAATGTGAGCCATCAATAATCGACGATCGTTCTGGCGTTTTGTCAGTTACATTATTAAACAACCGATTCATTCTATTTCCATTCCCACTTGGCAGAACCCTCCGCATACGATTTATGCTTTATCAAGTTTGATGGGTCTCTAATGCTAACTCCGACAATGCTTGAATTTTAACGATGACGTAATATAACGTCACGAAATGTCATAAAAAATTTATAACATCGTTTTTATTTTAATATATCATATCATCGTTTTTATTTTAATTATATTTAATTTTATAGATTTATATTCGATAAAAAAAATTTTTATCTAAAAAAATATATATTTTCTATGCATATTGTTATTGCATAGAAATATATATTTCTTGAAATTTATATTAAATTATAAAATAGTTGAAATATATTATAAATCAGTTCAATGAAAATCATTAATTAAAATTTAAAAGGGATTAAACGAACTAGTCTTGTGATCAATTGGATAGTGATGTCAGAAATCAACGTGACGTGTTGATGATTCTTTGAAGACGATGATACTCTCGCGAAAAACAGAGTATGAACCAGTCAGCAAGGTCGATTGTGATTGAGTTGATGTGCTTCGCGTTGTACGATATAAATTGATCTTCCCCGTGCCGATCTCTGTAGAGTACTGCCTTTAAATTGACAGTGGAATAATACTCATTTAACAAAAATAGAGGAAAAAATTTGGAAATCCATCAAATATTTTGATAAACTAATATTAAATGCAAACTTAATTGTAAAATGTTAAAAAATAATTGTAAGGTATTAAACTAATTTGTTCTATAAAGTATTTTTTCATTGTACGATCATAAATAGAAAATATTTTAAATACTATATCAAATTTCCCTTCATTTTTGTAGTTAACATTAATTTCTTCGCTAAAAATTTTCAAAACAAAAACAGCAAAAGAAATCCATTCTTGAACATCTTATAATCATTTCTTCTTTCCATATATTTTTTATACTTTAATAAGATTCATCGTCGAATAACTAAAATTAAAATTAAATTAACACTTTCAGGAAGGGGCCAGGGGCGATTGTCAGTACGGACCGCTATTAAACATATACTCCACGCGGTAGTATGTCGATGTGTGGTAGGTACTTATCCAATTGACAGTGCCCCCGTCTGACATAGTTCAGTCGTCGACGAACTTAGGATGATCTGACTGCGTTTCTACCAACAGTGATGTTTTTGCGATTCTATTCTTTTGATGAATTGCGTTCTTCCACCATGTGCTTCTTCTAATCATATAAATACCATATCAAAAATAAATAGTAAAGGGAAGATTGAAATATTAACATATAAAAAATCGACATGATGATTCCTGTAAATGCGTCCAGAGACATCGTGTTTTGGTTTATTGGTCTAGTGAGAACAAACAACGCGGTCAAGGTTGATCGTTGTCAGTGAACTAATTCCTTTTCTGGCTATCAATAGACGAGCTGAAAAATCGGTTGATCCGACAGCTTCCTTTTGGAATAAACACATATTCAACGTGAAGAGAAATGCGAGTGAACAAATGCAATTGACATGGCAGCCGACTTGTACGCGAATGGATCCGTGAAGTCAACGTCCGACAGGTAAGATATAAGTAGATAAGAAATAACTTAAGATAAGATTGTTACTATTTCTTATATTTTTTGATGATTGATTAATGATGAGAATCGATTAAAAATGAAAAGATTTGTATTTATAGTTTATTTCAAATTAGCAATTATTGTCAGTAATAATATAGAAAATTTAATATTAATAAAACTCTTTTATTTCATGTTCAATGTTAAATATAGTTAGAAGATTATGAATTACAAAGAATTAGACATTTATTTATGATCTATGATTGTTTAATTCTTTGCACTTGAAATGGCAATTCTTTGGCATGGTATACGTTTTTTAGCAATACAGATACGAATATTTAATTTCGACAATACGGAATACCGATTAAACATGAATATTTTCTCATATTATATACTATTAAGTAAATATGTCCATTTCTAAAGATTTTATAATTCATAATAATTATTGCATATTTTTTAACTAATTATGAAATCAAACTATAGAAATATAAAAATTATATAGCAAATAATGAATGAAAATAAATAAATATAAATATTCTTAAATATATATAAATATTTTTCAGAAATATTGGATAAAAAATATATATATATAAATTGGATAAAAAAAAAACAAAATTAATAAAATTAGAAAAAGTGAGAATGTCAAATGTAAATTTGGAAAGAATTGAAAGTTTTTAATTTAATAATATCTTTTTAATTTAACGTAATTCTAAATATATTATTTATAAAATGAACATATTAAATAAGTATTATTTATTTATATATATAAATAAATTAATTTATAAATTAATAGTAAATTCTAAATTCTGTTTCTATTTCTTATTTATTTTAAGCTTATATAAATATATATAAATTATGTAGTTACTAGAAAATAATATTAAAATATTTTCTAAATATTTTAAATATATCTAATAAAATTCTATGAATAAATAGATTAAAATAGAAATAATATGTGAAATGAATTAGAACATGAATATAAAATGAATAATAATAGGTAATAGGTATGAATGAGATAAATTAATATTATAGAATTCTATGAAATATTATAGAATTCTATGAAATGAGTTTATGAAATATTACATTAGAATTCATAGAATTATAAATTAAGAAGAAGAAATTTGAATATTGAATATTTGATAAAAATTGCTAGTTCAAGCGAGATCGAATCTCGAATATTTGATTCGTATAAGAATGTGATTTGCTGATTTTTACGTCAATTTTCATGACAATGAAACGATTTAATAGCCGTTACTGCTGTCTTGAGTTAATAACCAATTGATCCTCGACCTCCTGACCAAAGGTTCATTGATGAACGTTGTTAGACAAAACTTAAATAGAAAAAACTAAATTTAAAAAAATTAAACTTAGTTCTTCACTCGAAATTCTAAATTTCTATTCCAAAATATTTTAAATATTAGTAATCAAATTTGAAATTTAAATTAATCAGAATTTTTTTTGAATATCAAAAATTTTTTAACAATAAAGAAACATATCCAACGAAAATAATCCAACAATAGTAACGTTAAAAGAAGTAATTATTATGATTTTTGGTATTTTCTATTTTTCTATCGATTTCATATCCGTTTTCTTTTTTTTTTTTTTTTTTTTTCTTTTTTTCTCAATTCAAAGAATTAAATATTTCCATGAAATATATATATATTCCAAGTACTCACAAACATGTTCATGTACTATCAATTATGAAATGAAATATCGTAGAATAAATGTTCACGTAACTGCTGTCAAAGAAAAAATTAAACACAAACATGTGTTCTCTTTAATAATATTGACAACGATCGGCAAGTATTAACCTATTACAAACAGTTTTTACCGGATATGCCTTGTGAACAGTGGACATTTCGTTTTCTGAGATTTTACAAAATGTATTAATATAATTTACATTTATTAATAATTATTATATTATCAATCTTAAATCTTCATGATTGAATTATCATAAAGTAAAAATTAAAGTCAATTGAATTTAAAATTGTTTTTTCAAAAAAAAAGAAAAAAATCAATGTATTAGATAAAAAGTAATATAAAGTAATAAATGATTTTTAGCTAAGAAATTTAACAATTTGTTGGACATTGAAAAATTACAAGAAATAAAGCGACCAGTTAGCGCGTAATTTAGAACACGAAATTCTGAACGGGACGCGGCTCGTAAACGAGAACGATTAGAGAAGAGACTATTAGACTCGTTAATTTAGGAAATCAATTAGATTCTTCGTCCCAGTCAGCGTAAAACCTAATAAGAATTCCATCGAAACTTTACGTGATGTGTTTATTGTCATTTTTAATACATTATTTGCTCCATATTAATAATTTAAAAATCACAAATAAAAAATAGTCTAATCATACTATTTTTTTTATTCTTTAAAATTGGAATCTTTGTATTTTCATGCCATCAACCATTATAATTTAATCAATTAAAATTCAAATTATCTTGAATTGAAAATTAAAAGTTTTATGAAATTAAAATTATTATTGTAATATATATTCGAAAATAATATATAATTCTTGAATTGATATATTCTTACAGAGAAATCTTTTTTTTTAATTGTTGCAGTTTCAAAATATTTAAAAAATAAAAATCACCGTCTCGCAAGAATGTATATAATAAGGTCAGTGAATACTTTTTAACACTTTTGTTAACACTTTGTTTAATAATTTTTTCTTTTTTGTCTAATAAAAGTTTTCATTACTAAAAGAATTGGTAGGGGATTATTTTTCATTTAACATAAAGAACTTGTTATATGACTATATTAAGGAAGAATGCGTACGTTCCTTGTGTTTAAAGAGACAATTAGATCATACTGGTGAGACATTTTCACGAGGATAGATTTAAACCTTAATTAGCAAATTGCGAATGACGTGTACGAAAATTCAAATAAATAGTTATTTATAAATTTATTTTTTAAAAACATAAAACTTGATATGTTCTATAGTATTCTCTATTTTTCATTTTCTTGATTTTAATTCTTATTTTTTTTAATTTTTGCTCAAGCATGATGAAAATTTTCGATATTAGTTAAAAACGTTAAAAAAAATTCTAAGGTACATGTGCTGAAAACATTCAAAGATCCATTCGCTATTAGATTATTTTTAGATAGCAAGATAGGGACTACCCCTTGATGCTGGCTAAAAATAGCTGGTACCGCCAATCCAACTCCAATTATTCCATTTAGGTATTTAGGTGACAATCGACTGACCGCCAATTTAGAAATATTCCACACGCTGGCAGTCCGGAGATCTCAGGCTGCGTTGTAGATGAATAATATGTTGGCAGGATAGAAAAAACTGTATTTATATTCCATCGCAATAACAAGAGAAAAGATGCAAAATTGAAAATTATCAAAATAATATTTAATAACATTAAAATATAAGTAATTTATAAAATATTATAAAGAACGTTGAAATAATAATACTCCAATTGAAAAAAGTCTAATTAATTTATTAACAATCGACAAATAATTTATGATTTTTTTCCTGTTTTATTTAATTAACTTATATTCATATAAAATATCTAAATTCTTTTGATAAAAATTATACTTTAAGCAAAAAAATTTCATCATTATGAAATAAAAATATATAAATTTCGAATTAATTTAAGATTTAAAAATTAACAATTCTTTGAATTTCAAATCATGTATTATTTTATTTATATTTTCATATTTTATTAATCAAACTATTTCTCTATTTGTTAATTAATAAATTTATTCGATATAAATGTAAGCGCGCCTAAAATATGTAACCAATCTGACAGACATGTTTTTTCTTTGTGCGCAGAATTGCGGGCAACATGAGGCAACATAAGACGGGCACGCTTGGCGCCGCGGCGCCTATATCTACAGAGGAAGAACGATTGAAATTTCAAGACAACAGGTTCTTGACGACATTAGTTCTTGGTAGAAATAGGTAAGTGCATCATTGTTCTTATTTTGCTCGTTTTTGTAATTCAGAATTTCATCGATTCTCTCTCCAACAATTCATTTCAATTAT